ATATTAGAGAGTTGAGTTTGAATTTCAGTTGGGTTCGTTGCATTCACTTATGCACAAATAGCCCAGGGAAAGGTATGAATCCATCTCCTCCCCATGTTATGTGTTAAATAGTAGGACTTGTATCTGGAAAAATCATTATTCTCAAAAAAATTGTTCATACAATATTTATTCATAAAAAAAGAATTATTATTACAATCCAGAATTTGTTTTGGCTTTAAATAATCAACAAGAGGTTGATAAGCCATAAAAAAAACAATCAAAAAATCAATCAAACCCACCCTTTTCCACCACCCATTCACACAAGTTCATCAGCTAGATGGCCTGCTGACTCCCTCTGTCCTTTTTACCTTTGATATGTCCTGTAAGTGTCAAATTCTCCAAGCCCTCCATCCTCAAAATTAAATTTTTCCTCATTGCTTAAATGCTCTGTCATTGGTATTCTTCTGTAGAATCACATTTCAGTTGCCTCCAGTTTTCTCTCCATCTGTGAGGAAATTATTCAGTATTCATTGACATTTGGGAATTCAGAACTCTATTCTTTGTTTCTAATGAGATTTTCTTGTTTCTTAGTACTTTGCTTAGCTTTTAGAAGGCATTTTTTGCTATTGCAATGTGCATTCAGATTTTTATAATTAAACTAGTTTACTCATACTGACAAAAGAAAAAAGAAATTTTTATATATATAATTCTATTGCTACATTTAAGAAAGAATTCTGCTTTTCAAATCATGGTAACTGTTTTGATGAACTTTCTTCTATGGTACCTAGACTATGAATTTAAATGCAGTACTAGATTAGCAGCAAGGTCTCATCATTTTACAGTTGAAATGGCTAAATGGAACTGTAAGTTCTATGCTAACAGTTTCTTCTATCATATGACTCGCTTGGAGAATTCTCTTCCGGTTTCTTGCTTCCTAGTCAAGTTTGATGTTCAAAAATTTAAATGCAATGTCAGTCATTATCTTCTCTTTTCTTAATTCTTCTCCTTTTATTGTCCTCTTTTCTAATATACTATTAGTATATTTTTTAATATTCTCTAACACTCAGTAGCCCCTTGTGCCTTAGTGGCTTTATTGCCTTGCTTGAGAGTGAAATGTTTAAAGTAAAAATGCCCCAAAAAATCTAACATGAAGGAAACAAAAAGTGATGTATTAGCAGTTTGATCTCTTCTACATGTTTATATTTTTTTATAGCATTTCACTCCAATCAAGGCGAGATGCCACTAGCACGCAAGGGGTTACAGAGAGTGGGAGTGAGAGCAAAGAGGTGTGATAGAGGAAAGGATGAAGAGAAGGATAGGGAATAGATCAAGGCATCTAGAGATGTCAATTGACATTATATTTGAATAGTTGTAGATTGTAGCTATCAGGGAAACAAGTAATAGGAAGGGAAATCCACAGACTGGATGTGCGAGATATGAAGCTATTGGAGTAGAAGAGATGGCTACATTTAACCATTTCAACAGTGAAAGGGTGGGATTGAGTTGCCAGCCTAGTTGCACGTTTAAATTCATGCAGTCTGGGGACTAGCGAAAGTAGCTCATTGGAGGAGTTACTGTGAAAGTATTTGTAGAAAAGACAGAGGGAGGTGACGACACATCTGTGAGAGAGTGACTGTAGACGAGATGCCAGATCAGGGCCAATTACATTGCATATTCGTCTCTGGATTTTGTCGAGGACCTTAAGATGAACAGTGGGGGCACCAGACCATATATGGCAGCAGTATGTTTCATCATATTTTGTTAATGTGTGACATGTTTACTTATTGATATCAAGTAATACCTTTTGGTTCCATCACAGTGGGATATTTTATTATCTCAAATAGGTAAAATAGGAATGGGTGACCAATAAATATATAATAATTTATATTATGATGCCCCAAATAACAAAATTCATTAACATTTTTTCCTTAGTTAGATAACATTCTTTGCTCAAATTAAAATATTTTTTCTTTCATAATATAACATTAAGAAATCTGTTGTCAAAAAATAAAGCACTAAACATTACTTATGGCACAGTGAATAAAGAAAGACGTTGGTTAGATCCAGTGGCAGAACTCAAAGAGTGTGAGTTCAATACCTGGTTAAGGCAGTGGAGAACTTGGAGAGGGAAATTAACAGGAGATAACTGATAACTGACATCCATTAAACCTGGCACATGGAACTAGAACAGTCTACCCCAGTGAGTGAAATAAAGGGTTCAGTTTGACATTCCAACCACCTGAAGAAGGCCGGAGTGTATAACATCTGAAACGTTGTAATAAATATGGCGACAAAGATGAGGACAATAGTCCGAATAATGTAAATAGTGTACATAATACCTCATCTCAGAAACATAGACAGATACTGAATACATGGTAGTTGAGACTTATTCTTTTGTGCATATACATGTGTGTGTGAACATAATTATTAGAGGCAATGATATGTGTGTTTTATGTTGTACTTTTGTTGAAGTTTTATTTTGGAATACAGTTTGATTTAGGAAATTACTGGTAATTTTTTTTTTATATAAAAATGTATTGCTGGTATTTTGACTATAGAAATGTATTTTTAGACTTTCATAGGTTTTTCTTGAGTGGGGAGGGAGGGTAACTATTTGCCCATAGCTGTGACCCTAACCTGGGAACAACAGCAATTAAGAGGTGGTTTCATAAACATTACTTTTTATAGTTTGTCCAAAATATCTACCAAGAAAAAATCTCCACATAACGCAGTTGTGACATCTGAATGTAGCTGGGATTCAGTGCTTTGCCAAAAACCTTCCAGTATTCATCCTTGGCATTAATTTTATTGAAATTTATTAGAACCATGCACCTTACAGATTGACCACTAATATAATAAAGGTGATATTCATGTGCATTAATCTAAAGTGAATTCTGCAAAGCTTTGTTGAATTAGAAAGTAATTATAACTACATCACATATCTCCTCCTGGTGCCAATTTAAACAAACATCCCCCCTACCATATATTTAACCTATAATTATAAAATATAATTTTGGAAAGTGAGAATTTCACTGAAATATGTTGGAAAATTTCCGAGTATTTATCTGAAATCAAGAATTGGAAAAAGGTGGAGGTGTCAGTTAACCCACCTTCTCCTGGCATCATGATGCCTTTTTAATCTAAGCTATAATACTGGAAAGTAAAAATTTCACTGAAATATGTTGAAAAAATTCCAAATTTTCATCTGAAATCAAGAAAATACAAAGCAAAACAGTCACAATATATGAAAAACAAAAAAAATAAAAAATGCTGATACGAGGAGCGAATGGGTTAAAGCATACATCTTTCATGATAGTATTGACCCACAGGAATTGATGAGATATTTCAAAGAATCAAAAATCAACTGGGCTTTGGATTCAAAAGAAAGAATCATAAGAAAAATAGGCTAACTCAGTTGTATATCTAAAAGTGTAGAATGAAAACAACTCTCAAGGTTCTGATTAATATTATTACTTTCTTCAAAGATCAGCAATAGCATCCCTTCCATTAGAGATGTTAAATGGTAAATAAAAATGTAAGATTTGTTTATTTATGTTTTTGTATATACATATAAGATGTATGCAAGAATTACCAGTGGAGAAACAGTTGTCAGTCTCTAGTTTTCAAAAAAAGAGTTCTGTGAACTTTTACACAAACTTAATATTTTTTTTATTTATTATTGTTATTATTCCCCCCACCATTTTTTTATTTTTTATTAAGCAAGTCTCCCTTTAATTAATATTATTATATTGTTCTCAATGAAAAGAATAGTAGAAGTGTCTATGAAGAAAGTATTCCTTAAAAAGGACTACAGTCAAATTTAAATTTGATTTAAGGTGACCTGATGATCTATTACAATTGAATGTGTTTTAGCAGTTCCATACAAATGTTCAAAACTTTTAAAGAGCAAATTCTTTGAAGTAATCTATTCTAGAATACAAAATACAATGTAACTTTATCTATTTATTGGTCGCCCAACTTGAGATGTCATTCTGACTATAAAATGCCCCTTTCTCAACTAAGTATTTATACAGATGACAACTATTTACTCCTGTCTTAGTAGGAAGCCTGATAGTTCTGACAAAGTAAAACTGGTAACTGCTCTCAAAAAAGACTTCCAATCAGTGATTAACTGAGGCAAGGGATGGCTTGTAAATTTTAACACCTCCAAAACAAAACTGCATTTATTTAATCACCACAGTGAACATTTTCTATCTGCCATCATCATGGCTGATGATAAACTCCAGAAGTGCAACTCATTGCACCTACTTGGGCTCAAATTTCCCACTTATATGAAGTGGAATGATTATATTGAATTAATTGCTAAGTCTATTGCTAGGAAAGTTGGTTCACTATGTTCTGCTAGACAATTTTTCTTGTTAGAATCCATTTTGCACATTTATAAATCTGACATTTGACCATGAACTGAATGCTGCTGCCATATCTGGTCTGGTGCTCCTATTATATATCTTGAGATTCTTGACAAAATCCAAAGAAGGGTCTGTAATGTAATCGATCATGATGTGGTTCCCCTCTGTCTTCTCTACAAATATTTTCATAGCAATTCCTCTTCTGAACTTTTTATCTTAGTGCCTCAACTACTATGCATGCTACTAGATTGTCAACAATGTCTCAATGTTTTAATGTTGAACAAGCTAGATGCAACTGTCAGTTCTATTCTAACAGTTTCTTTTCTCGCACTTCTCCCCTGTGGAACAATTTCTGATTTCTTGCTTCACTACCACCTACAATTTCCAAATATTTAAATGCAATATCTGTCTTCCTAAATTCTGTTCCTTTATTCTCCTTTTCTTCACTTCTTCTAACTAGAGTCTTCTTATTCACTCTCTGTGTTCTAATGGCATTATTGCCTTGTTTGGGGTGAAATGACTAAAAACTAATAAAAGATTTGCCAATGACCAAGCATTCCTGTTTCCCTGTAAATCAGTACCACAATCCCTATCAAAACTTGGCAACAGAGCCACCTGCATTGTCTCACTATCCTCTCCAAATAGCCAATTATGAAAGAGAATAAGTCATGTTCAAAGGATAACCTGATTATTCCTGTTGCACCAGGTGCATCCAAGTTGGGGCCAACACTTCTATCTAATTTCTACAGTATGAACCACAAGTTTTGTTTTGGGATTGTAAAGAGATTGTTAAGGATTTTCAGCCACAATACAGTAGAAACAGCAATTGAAAAGAAAAGGGTTTTTAATGTTTATTGGATTTTACTAACAGTACATAAAAATTGTTTGAACACATAACAAAACCAATAATGTTTGTAAGTTACACCCAAATACTGAATGTCAAAAAGTACCTCAGATAAAATGTGATGACTATGTTAGCTTACAATAAAAGAGCATTCACTAATTATTTTTTTTTAAATTTTATTTATTTTTTTAATTATAAAGCCACTAACATAATATGAGAAAAATATAAACATTATTAAGGAGAGAGAACAATAAAAGAACAGGAATTAAGAAGACAGAAGAGAGTGATTGACATTGAATTTAAATTTTTGAAAATCAAACTTGACTGGAAGGCAAGAAGCCAGAAGAGGGTTCCATATGTGAGAAGTGTGAAAGAAGAAATTCTTAGCATAAAACTTATGATGAAACCTAACTGCCAATTTAGTACTGCACTTAAATTCATAAAGTTGAGTTACCAAAGAGGAAACCTCATCAGAAAAGTTACTATGAAAATATTTATAGAAAAGGTACATGGTAGTTATGTTATGGTGGTGGGAAAATTCCTGATGCCAAGATGTCAGGTCAAAACTGATAACATTGCAGATTCTTCTTTGGATTTTGTCAAGAATCTCTAAATGCATAGCAGAGGTACCAGACCAAATGTGGCAGCAAATGCATTTATTGGTAAATTTATAAATGTGCAAGTTAAATTCTGGCAAGAAAAATTGTCCAGCACGACAGTTTCCATTTATATACCTACTAAAAGAAACTTTCATAACTATTTTGACAGCACAATATTTTAAAATATTTTAAGCAAATGTGATTGAGAAACCTTTGGATAATGTTACTATAATTAGCAAACTGCACACTTATTGTGGTTCTGTGATTATTCAGCTATTGTTAATTAGTTTCTCTTTGGTTGTTTCTCCAATTATGGCTCTGACCAAATCTGCCTATTATTAATAAACATAATAGGGAAAGGTTTGTCATACCACATTGTGAAAATCATCTGAAAAACATTTAAATAATTCATATATTCTAGGCAGTTCTTAGATCAATTTGTTAGTTCACTAAACATCAGGATCAGTTGCATGATAATTTACTATGACAGAAAATTATTACCTACACTTAGACTTCTTTATTCTTGTGGCTCTAATGAGTCAATCATTAATATTGTTATAAATTTGTAATACATTTCAAACTTATAGCATAGACACTTATTTTAAGACATTTTATGTTTATACATTCTTTTTATAGATACAAATATTTAAGTAAATGTTCTGTTTTATAATAAACAATATTTATAACATTTACCGGCCTGAATGTCCGAGAAATTTTCATAGAAAATATTCGTCCTCCGACAGGAATCGAACATGTATCCTATACGGAACTGTCATTTAGCCTTAACCAATCGAGCCACATAAATAGATAGACATTTAACTGGTAATTGTGAATGGATTTCTAATTAAAATTAAAAGAAGAGGACAATCATTTAATAGAAGATATTTTGAGTTTTAGAAAGCAGTGTATGCAAATTAGTCATTAGCTTATTTGTGTTAAGACTTTTTAAAAATAAATAAATTAAAAAAGGAAGGATTTTTATATTTCCTTTCGAGGGGGGTGGCGGATACATTTGTGTATGAAATATTGTTTGCTTTTTTTACTTGTTCTACTTAGAAAAATCCATTTTGGTAGAATGTAGTTGTCGAATTTCCATACTTTAACTTCTGTAAAAAAGCAGCTAATTATGGACATCTCTATTTATAAAAGGCAGGATGTATGTGTGTGTGTGTGTGTGTGTGTAATAAATGCATGGTTGCAATTTTCGATGGATTTGCACCAAAATTTACATGCACATGCTCCAAGTTAACGGAAAGGCCAAGACCAATTTTCCATTTCCCAACTCCCATCGATAGTGGAAATAATCGATTTTTGCATGCTTCTACAGCAGTTTTCATGTAGTTTGTGGCCATTTTCTACTGGCCAGAGTGAGAGCCTATAGCTGGCTGCCACAAATAGGCAGGAAGATTCTATTGGCCAGCGTGAGAGCCAACAGCTGACTAACATGAATGTTAACTAGCATGCTAGCATGCAAAAAAATCGATAACTGCATTCATCACAAGTGGGAAAAATTTAAATCTGCATGGCACTTTACTCCAATTGGCTCATTCGCTTGCTTAAACACAATGTTGATTCTGATTCTGCAGAACTGGGTTGGGTGTAAAAAAGTATTTGTTGTTAACATTCTTTTTTTCATTCGTTTTTTCCAGTTACAAGTCCTTTTTTAAAGCTGATCGTTTTGTGTTCATTTTGTTTAGTTCTGTTTTCGTAACAGATTTAATGTTTAGTATAGAGCTTAGAAAAAATTCAGTGTGAGATAGGCAAGAAGTAAGGCATGTAGCAACATCAGCATGGCAAAGGGCACTCCTTTAAAGGCAAGGAAGGGCAAAAATATTCTTAAGTGATAGCAATTGCTGTACGAGTCGTACAATTTTTGAATCAAGCACGGGCAACGCCGGGCCATGCTGCTATTTAGATATAAAACTGATGTCTAACTTTAGAAAAATAATCTGGTAATTTTTCTAGGAAAAAATTTTTTTTTTTTTTTATTGGATTAATGTTCACTATTTATGAAATGTTGAAGAGGTTGTGGACGTTCAATATATTTGTTCAAAGAATATGACTGTAAAGACAAGAAATTAATTGGTCGGTGTGGGGGCAGGCTTGTTATAGTTAAGGAAAGTTTTACAAATTATAGATGCCAACTTGTTGAAGGCTGAGTAAAATGCAAATTTTGAACACTTTTCTGCACTTTATAAGACAATATTCCTAAACAGAATTATTTTTGATATGAAAATCAAAACAATCTTTGAATAAAAGAACAGTACTGAAGTACAGTTAATTAATGACATATACTTTTTAAAAATCAATATGCAAATTAGTTAAATCTGAAAAGTGATATTGCCTGGAAAATACAGATATTGAATGTGGTGATGGAACTAGGATTAGGAAAAACCAACGACTCCCTATTTTTCCCTCGTGGCCTTGTCCACAATTCTTTATTGTTCAGAATAAATCTCAAATTACTATAAAGTAGAGTTGGGGCCTTTTAACTTATCCATGGGAGAATTGAGCTCTGATTTCACATTTATTCATATAGATTACATTAAACATTATGTTTAGTGGATATAATTGTTTATCTGGACATCTCCATTTTAATAAACAGTGTAAATTTATGTCTACTGGCTTGTGTGTGTAACAGAAAAATATGTGCATTAATTTTAGCCCATGAAAATTTCTGTTTTCCTATTTTAATATTCTGATGAATCTTAATTTAATGATTGAGTAAGCTCATGGCATGTTCTACATCAATAAAATATCTGTAGAAACTCCCCGATCACATTGTAAAATATTTGAACTTAACTTTAACAAACTATTGTTGTAAAAATCATGAATTATATGAATGCTGATTGTTATTTTAAGTGGGTACAAATGAAAGGATTTGAAATTGACAACTTTTCCATTTCTGTTAAACACTTCTTTCCCTTCTTTCTTATGTTTTCTTATTGAAACCAAGTAGTGTATTTTTCCCCTCCTATACACAAGATCAGAATTTATGAGGTACTGGCAGGGCATAATGGTTGTGTGAACTAATGAAGGGATGAACAGGCACAACTATAATAGGATGCTTGGAGCTAGTAGAATATTCTGATAAAACTTTCAAAATCTTCAGCTGAGCTTTTAATGGTGATACATTACATTATAAAGTTCACTGTAGTGAAAAGAACCAATTCCAACAAGTAACTTACCATGGCAATGAACATATGCTACTTTTGTTCAATTAGTGCCATTTAAGAAGGGAATGTTTAAAGCCTGAGTATCCAGAATATTTTCGTAAATTTTTAAGATTACTGAGTAGTTAAAAATTATATAAAAAGGCACCCGCAAGTAAATTTTACTACAGATATACCCACCACAGAAAGAAATTAGATAAACTTCCGTCTGTCAATCAAGCTGTCAACACATTAAATAAACAGCTACTGCCGTGTTAAAATGCATTTTTGCGACATTTTATTTTTAATCTTTGTTTATTTTTTTTTACAGTAAATGCATATTTGATTTTTCTTTAATAATTCAAATTATCAAATATGGCCTTATTCATTTTTGTGATATGAAATAAAGAATTGAATCAGCGTTTTTTTTTCTGTACTGAAAAGTAGAAAGACGTCAACGTAATAACTATGCAGTGTGATATTTATTCAACTTCTATTCGGAAAGTATTGTTTTAAAATATTCTTATGGTTTTTGTGAAGTGTCACACTTTACTGTTCAAACAGCAATTGTCTGACAAACTTCATCAAATTCAGTGATTTATATCAAAATGATCATCGATATCCTGGCAATATTTAAATTTATATTTACTTGCAGTACTGCAAAGGTCTTAGTGATCAGAATCGCAACAATTGGGAAATTAAAAATAAAATCACACCGATAAAAATAAAATTGTGATAAATGACAAGATTTTAAAATTGGTCATGTAACGTGGCTCTTTACTAGTCATTTAATTTATCTGAAAATCCCAAAACAAGATAAAGTTAAGTTCATACAAATTTTTTAGTTTTTCAATTTAAACACCACCCACTTTTTTTTTATTTATTTTATTTACTTAAGTGAAGCGTTTAGTCCAAACCAAATACGGAATACAGGTTCTTCAGTTAACTCTTAAAAATAAAATCTAGTTTTACTTTTAACCAGTCACGCCACATTATTCTATTCATCTGAATATCACAATCATACTGTAGTAGACTGCTTTCATGCAACAACACCGCATATGAAAAGTTTATGTTTTTAAATAAAGATCTTCTTTGCATTTTGCTTCATGATTTTTTTAAAGATTTATAATATGAATTAATGAGGAGATGGATGACGGACTCGTGAGTAATGCTAAAAGAATAACACATGATAATCAATAAAAACTTCCTCGATCTACTTACACTAATGCGAAATATTGTCCTTCAGCAAAATTCATTTCACAACCGACCGCTCATATTTGTTGACACGTTTTATTTAGATCCGCCCACGTGCTCCACATGTTTCCATGTGTATTGTGTTTACTTCCGGTACGGTTGTTACAGAATTAACAAAATTACTTCCCTTCGTTATTGGTATCACGTGACTAGATTTGTCAGCCATTTTTGTCTTCCAAGTCAATCTTTCATCCACCTCCACCCTAACCCATGTCTCTCACTTCTGCTATTCCCTTCTTCTCAAACTATATGCAGATTTATTTCTTATCTTTTTTTATATTATTATTTATATTTCTGCAAGTTTTCTCAAATTGAATTATGTTATTTTTTTTATTTTTTTAAATCTTTATTATTGTCTCTGTTCTTGTCCTCATCCTTCCTCTATCAGTTTTCACTCTCTCTCCCACCCCTTCTATATTGTCTACTAACACTGCTTCTCTTATTATTCACGTAACGTAACCTAACAGCAGAAGAGAGATTGTTAAGAAGTAACACCGTCGCTGCTCCTCTGCTTCGGACTTCCACTTTGGAGGTAATATTATTATTATTGTTGCTGATGATTATACACAGTCGCTTCAAACTTATAACCTGAACATTAAATATTGAATCCAGTTTCTTGTAATCGCGATTCAAATTTCTTTTCTAATTTTCTCAGATTAAGTTACTTATAAAAAGTCATACTTTTTTTTTGTTTTTTTGGTCACAACTATCAAATCATCAATAAAAGAAATATTGATGAATTATGTTATTGTACACAGCAAGAAAATAACACACACAATAAATAATAATGTTGATCCTCTGATTGTCATTTAATAACGCAAGAATGTTTTCGGGCTCTTATTTAATTATTCGGACATTTAGTTATTTATTTTGTATTCATATATCGATCAGATCTTCACTGAGAATGATCGCAACAAAATGAAAAAAAAAAGGCATTGCAAAAATGTTTGAATGGCCCATATTTTTCTTTATGGAAACACTAAACAGTCATATTGATTATTGAATAATATATCCGATTAAACGCTGTTTTTAACATTACATTGATTGAATGTTATTTAATTAATTATTGCTATAATAATTTTTGTTTAATTTGAACACGTAAACATTTATTTTATTTGGTAAGCTGGTCTAAACCGCATATGTTTTGTTTTTCCATTTGTTCTCCACAGTGAAACAGAAAAAGTAAAAACATGCTTTTCGTAGTGATGAGTTGATCATTTATTTTATTGTCCTCATCTGGTTTACTTGCTATTCATTCTTCTTTAGTTTACTTACACTACAGAAATATAGTAGTACACTGTACACACCTTAAAACGTCTTCTTACCTGATGCATGTCACTTAGGCTTTTTAGTGCTGAAAATGGGTAGTCCTTCTTTTAGTTCTCATATTGTTTTTAATTTGTACTTTTTATTGTAACTGTAGGTGTCAATTCAATATGACTCATTCTAAAAAAAACAAACAAACAAAAAAAAAAACTGATCAGCTTTCCGCATTTTTCTTGTTACCAGTTAAAAAACAAAGCAGATTTTTTACTACTTTTAATAATTTAAAGGAAAAATAGCAAGCGTGAGTAATGTTAATGTATGTTGTTATTTTTCTGATTAATTAAAAAATCCGATATGTATCCAGTTCATTATTGTATTTTCTCCCCTTTTTTTTAATTAAGGCATTTCGTTATTTTGAATTATATTTTTAAAATATTTTTACACGATTCGTTCCTAAGTTGATTTCAATTTCCATTTAGCAACTGACCTTTCCGAATTCAATGTAGGGAGTAGTAAACAAACAAAATATGATTATTTTTTAAACTGAGGCCGTCATTTTTTTTTTGTTTTATTTTTATTATATATTTGAAAAAATATATGTATGACAATTTTTTAGAAGAAAACAAATTTACTTGACATATTTCGCCAGTAATCCGGCGTCAGTCATGGCAAGTTAAATTTTATCTTCAGAAAGAAATTGTCTTCTTGTGTGTACTGTACACATACATTGTATGTGTATGCTTGATTTTTAAAGGCCAACCTCCTCCTTGGAGTGGATACAACACAAATTTTCCTTATTTTCATTTTAAGCTCAGTCCACGAACTAATTTTATTTCGATATTCGTAGACTAGGTTGCACTTGCAAATAGTTGTTTTTTTTAACTTTAAATATGACAACTTGTTTTTTGTTTCATTGGTAAAAAAAACATGTTTTTTTAGTTTACTTATTCAGAATAAACATGTAGATTTCAATTCAGAATAAGTTATTCTGAATTGAAATCTACAGATATTTTTTTACTAAAATAATTTTAGTGACTAGTAGTTTAGAGTCTTTTAGTTTTCTTGTTTATGGATGAATGATATTTTTTTTTGTAAGACCACGAAGTTTTTTTGCTTTTTTTTTAGCTATAATTTTTCTCTACTCAAAAATGTGCTTCAGCTCTCGCTTATTCTAATATTGACTAATCATTAGTCAGTAATATGTCGAAAAAAAGTATTCAGTTTAAAAACGTATTTTATTTTTTATTTATGTCATTTTTATTAGAAATGTTTACCTTTACTTCGACGTGGTATAAATGAAATGTCAAACCAATGGTTAGTAATCTTGTTCTGCTAGAGTTCAATTACAACAGTAATGAGTTCGATCCTCGCTGGGTGCCGCTTACGTTCGGTCAAAAATCTAAGCTACGCTTAGAAAATCACCATAAGCGAAGATTAATTTTACACCGAAAGCGTATGTTTTACACAGTAAAAAACGTTCATTAACAGTTAACAGTAACACTGAATAAAAAAGTAAAAAGGCTATAAAAATGTATTTTTCTTTAATGAAATTTGAAATATCTCTTTTTTTACAAAAAATCCATTGTATAAATTTTTAAAAAATACTTAAATTAAGGACTGCTTAAGAAAGAAGAAGAAATAAACAGGTTTCAATCACAACACAGGATGACTCACTTTTAGTTTTAGAATTTTTTTCTTGCTTCCTGTTCAAAAGTGAACACTTTTTTTTTTTTTTTTTTTTTTTTATCACGAATCATAATTTTATTAATATTTTTTTTTCTTTCCGCCCATATTTTTTTTTATTAATTATTTTTCTTAAGATTTTCTTCTTTGCTCGTTAAATTTAACGTTAATAATCAAATTAGTAGAATAGAATTTTTTTTAATCATTATTAGCTGCTAAAACCAAACCTACCACATTCCAAAATCAACACCCACACATAAAGATCCAAAGGTAAGCTAAGCAATATCACTAACTAACACGTTTTATTTCTCACTTGTTGAGTCTGTATGTCAATTAATTTTTTTGCCCATTTTCACCGTTGTGTTCTCAAGAATAAACAAAAACAATTGTTTTGTCTATTGTCCATAATTTATTTTAACAATATTCTAACTTTTTTTTTTTTTAAACATTAAATCATTGTGAAAATGTGTAGTAGTTGTGAAAAGTGTCAAACAAAATTTAGTCTTGATAATAATTCGATCTTCCCAAGTCATCAAATACCAACAGAACCAGATTTACTTAATAACTATCCATGGTTCATTTTTAATGTCTTCAAATAAAAAAAAAAAACTCTTAATTTCTTAACAACAGCAGTTTTTTCCTCTTAATAATAACATTTTATTTTTGACGATAAAACTTTATTTGGGACCTTTTTCCATCATGCTTTCTTTAGTGAAAATTGGAGGTACCTATTTGTAAACAAAAACTGAAATTAAAAAAGTAAAACAATTTCTCATAATTTTCATATTGGACGAAATTGAAAAAAAAAAAAAAAAAAAAAGAGAAACTGTAGTGTGAAAAGATAGTTTTTTTTTTTTTTTTACTTATCTGAATAAGTACAATTCATAATCTTGATTATGTGTAATTTTAACTTACGCATATAAGGAAGCGAAGCAAATGTCAGAACAAACAAGAAATAACGAAGGTTTTTTTGTAACACATTAATTAGATTTTACAGACATTTATACACTTTTAAAGTCATTTTTAAGAGAAAGTGTTTAAAAACTTAAATTAATTTTTTCTTGTATATTTTTTTGTTTTGTTGAAAGATACAAATACTTTTACTTATGGTCTTCTGACCTTGTCTATTATTGCAAATAAATTTTGAAATCTTTTTTTCTTTCTTAAACAAATTTCCATTTCTCTCTGATAGTTTTTAGTCAAACGTTACTCTTTCTTTCAGATTTTAACAGGTATTTTTGATATGTTATTTATTTAGTATAACTGTTGATTGGGGCTAACTATATTGAACTAAAAAAATAAAGTGGACATATGGATTAATGTCTGTTTCCACCAATAGATCTTACTGGAGTGAAGGCATGTAGGAATTTATTGTTTGCTTCTCAAATATAATAAGTACCATTTGTTATATGAATTGTATGGGATTTAAAAAGTTTAAAACTGAAAGTGATAGGTAGGCATTTAGTAGCTTCTAGTTCTTGGAAGCAGTCATCATATGGCCAAAACATACTTGATGCTAACAAATGAATATCAACATAAATAAAAAGTATAAAATAGATTTAAAATTAATGTTTACAAGAAATTTTATGATGACAACCTGAAGGATCTCAATCAATTAAATTTCACACTAATACTATGTTGAACATTTTGGAATAGTTAAAGAAAATTGAATTTTTTTTTTCGGTATGTTTTAGTCATTAAAATCCTTAGGTAGGATTTAAATTCTTTCTGATTCAGGCAGAATGGAGATATAAATTCACTTAAATTCTAGTAAAGTTTAACTGTCTGTTATTCTATATTTTCTCTAAGGAGGGAATGGCAATTGAAATAAATGAAACCATAATAAAAAATGATGTAATTCTTATGGAATGTTTAAGTAATTTTTATAATGTCTTTACTAGTAATTTTTTTCTTTACCATTGTCCATTACATACACCACATACAGAGAGAGTGATGGGTAAAAATAGTCACCATTTTATATTTTTGATTTTTTGCATGTGCATTGTTTGTTTTTGATTTTGTTGACTACACAATATAGTAGGGTTAGTTGGCCACCGTCTGTGAAAAAAAGAGCACCATGACATAATTCATTCTGCCAGAAATTTGGAATGGCATGTTGTACTGTTTGGCATTCATGCCAAAAGCTCCAATACAAACATTTCAGAGTGTTTGGGTGTCAATCTGAGGAAGTGCAAAGGATTCAGAAAGAGTTGGATGAGTCTAATGGTGTTTACAAAAGTATGGTAGCTCAAAAAAATCATTCTGATAAGAAAAGAACTCCTGAATTTGTTGTTGAAGGCCTCAGACTCAACATAAAGGCCTACATCAAGTGTCTTGAAGTAGTGCTGCTCTGGGTCAAGAGGGTGGCTCCTGGAACATCCTATATCTGGCAACAAAACTCTGCACCATGCTGCACAAGCAGGAGAACCCAGTCGTGGCTGTCAGATAATTATTTGTAACTACATCATTCCTTACATCTGGCCACCTAACTCCCCAGACTGCAACCCCCTTGATTATTATGTGTGGGTTGTAGTTGAGCAAGAGACAAACAAAACTCCTTGTAACACCAAAGATGAACTGAAG